CCATTCTCATTCGCCTGACTGCGTTGAGTGCGGCGATGTTCAGCAAGAGGAGTGCTATCAGGTTCACCTGGGGGTGCCGCGGCCAAATCAGTGCACCGTTGCACAGGTTGTGGGCACGGCAGTGTCCCGTCTTCCAGCCCCCAGTCTCCACGGTCACGCTTTACTTAGCATGTCTGGGCTATATCCTCCACGTGAGTACGAAGGTGCCAGCGCAGAACCGAAAACAGTCATTCGAAGTACGAAGTACTGAAATGTCTCTGCGCCAGCTTGATCAACGCGTGACGGCGTGAATACGTAGATGGTTCGTACGACTCGTCACACACTCCGTTGGCTCAGTCTCTGGCATTCAGTCGGAAGCAACCTGACCATCCACGCAGTGCGGCTCGACAAAAGGACCTGAGCACTTGGGAATGCGCTGCCATTCCATTTGGGCGGCCGATCTAATCGACTTTGGGCTGCCCCCGAGGGAGAGGCCGAGATAAAGTTCCAGCTACTACGCTCCCCACGTCCCGACCACTGAGACCCGGGATCTCTCGGCATCCTCTTCCCACCAGCCACTCTTATCGCTATGGTATCACATTGCTTATCTCTTGCGTTGTGTTCCCAGGACGGAACTCCGGCTCAACCCTCGTCCCAAAATGAAGCGGGTGTGCAACCATCGCGCTCAATTCCCTCAAGTCCCGCCACTGGCGAGGAACTTTTGCCTATGATGTGCACGGGCAAGCCAACTAAGGAAATTGCCAAAGAAGCAAGAAATGATGTAAAAGTCGGAAAAAATCTTTCCAGAAGACATCCGGACCGCTGACAACTGAGCACGTCAGGTGTAGGATGCTGTTGCGACTCGTCCAAATTAAGGATCCACCCCCACACTAATCGACAAGGAGACAAAAAGTTCCTCGTCCCCAATTTGTGATTGGCAGGTCACGAATCCGAGGTTCGCCAAGTTGGCTAGCACACTGAAAAGCTTCCAACTTGTGGTCTCGACACTTCCTTGGCGACGCTTCTGCACAACCTGCCCGGCTGGGCGTTTGCTTGTATGTGCCACAATGTAACTTACCCTGGAATTGCCGCCGAGTATGATATGAGCATTGCTAGAACAGCTTCGCATCGCCACTTGGTGGGGCAGAGGGATATCAACCACCAACAAGAACAGCCTGCATCAGGAAACTCCTTATCACGTCAGTACGCGTAGACATTCACCTTCCTAATTGCACGTAGCTTCGCGTGTATATGAAGTGACATTCCAATTTACCGGGCCATTGGGTTTGCATGAGGATCCCTGTCGGAACTCGGACGCCCCTGCCCGACGCAACGTGTCGCCGACAATTCTGGGCGGACCTCCCACGACATCCAATGGCACAACACCCCCCTCCCATGGCGCCATCTGCCGCCGCCCAGCTTGACGAGTTATCGCACCAGACGTCTGTACCTTGTGAAGACAAAGGTTCCAGAACGAAGGTTCCGTATCATCTATGTACATGTAGTCTGTGAAACCACCAGCAAGGGGCTGGCTCAAAGCTTTTATAGACTCGACCGTCGCCGATGCGACTAGAGAACCATTTTGGTCGCACAACTCTCCTGAACATCGGTCGGTCGCATTCGCTCCCCCAGATAGCGGGGTCTTCAATATTTTCTCGAGCCTCAGTCCCTCGTAGGATTCGGCGCAGCAGCCATGCCAGCGCCAGACCCAATTGGTGACACCATCGTCGCCGGTGCTCTCAACCCTGTTGAAGGAAAGATTGTCTCCGTGCCAAACCACGCGGCCATCAACGAGAAGACCAGCTTTGCTGATACTGCTGCTGGTAAAGAGTTGGAAGCGGAAATTCAAGCTGTGGCCCCCCAATCGGAGAGTGGTAGTCATGGAAAGGACAATGGCAGCGAAGAAGTTATCATCAGAACTGGAGCAGATGCTGCTCAGCACCTGTTGCCTCTTCGGGATGACTTTCAACCCTCTTTGACATTTCGCAGCATCTTCCTGGCCACCTGCTTGTCGGCCTTTCAAGCTGTCATGAGTCAGATCTACACGGTATGTCTAGTCGTGCAACATTCCCTGAAGAAGGTGGACGAAACGTGTTGATAGTTCTCCGGTCCAGTTCAAACCCACCCAGGTCACCATCTCGGGAACCTTCATCGTTCTCATTGCCTATTTCATGGGCAAAGCATGGGCCAACTTTCTCCCCCGAGGCGATAAACTCGAAGCTCGGTGGAGGGAGAAGGGTGGGGAGGGAACGCCTCCTCGGTGGATTCGGACCGTCTCATTCTTGAACCATGGCCCTTGGAACTTGAAGGAACATGCCATTTGCGCCATTACTGCAACATCTGCGTCCAACGCTGCTGCTAGCATCACCGTGTTTGCTGCTCAGGACCTCTTCTACGACCTTCCTCTCAGCCCTGCGACCGTCGTGTTGAGCGTCATTTCCATCGGACTTTTTGGCTACGGAATCTGCGGCATCATGCGACCTATTGCTGTATGGCATGTTGATGCGGTGTACTGGAGCACTTTACCTACGGTAAAGACGCTTCAAGGACTCCATTGGCAAGACTTGAAGAACTCAAAACCGTTGAGGTGGTTCTGGTACAGCTTTGCAGGCATGTTTGCATATGAATTCTTACCTGCGTATATCTGGCCCTGGCTCAACTCGGTCTCAATTCCCTGCCTTGCCGCGATGCACGCAACTGGTACCAAAGCTGCTACTTTGACAAACCTCTTTGGCGGCTCTATCAACAACGAAGGACTTGGCCTCTTCAGTCTATCCTTCGACTGGCAATACGTAAGAGAAGACTTTCCCAGTGCTATAACATATTCACATCTCTAACTGGATCCAGATCACCTCTTTCAATACCTCTCTTCCCCTGGCACTGCAGGCGCATGCGGCTCTCGGATACTTCGTGTGCTTTATTGTGATGCTGGGTATCTACTACTCAAACGCCTGGGATGCGAAGTCCCAGCCATTCATGTCCACTCGTCTCAGGTCTGAAGATGGATCGACATACCCAATCGCGAAAGTCTTCACTGGTGGAGTGCTCAACAAGGAGGCTTTGGCGACTTATGGCATTCCAAGGCTCACGGGTAGCTTTGCGTACGCAATGTTCATGGCAAATGCTGCTGTAAGTCATATTCTTGACTGGGAAAGGTCGAGCCATCTAGAAGGATGCTAATGACTCGTAGATTGGCGCTCTCATTGCTCACTGCTTCCTGTTCTGGGGCGGAGATGTCGTTAATGCTTATAAGAGCGCCCGAAGCGGACGGTACGACGACAGGCATCACGCGCACATGGCGAAGCACTACAAAGAGACCCCATGGTGGTGGTATGTGGTGGTGCTTGTTCTCAGTTTCATCCTCGGTATAGTTGTGGTGACAACTCAGAATATCACCCTTCCGGCATGGGCATACATTGTGGCGTTGCTGTTGGGCATCTTTATTGCTCCCTTGGTATGTTGCACTCACAATGAGGCAGTCATGTTGCTGACAAGTTCTTAGAGTACCATTCTTTACTCTCGGTATGGTAATGGCATTGCGACCAACAACCTCTCAAAGATGCTTGCTGGACTTCTACTGCCTGAACGTCCCATCGGAAACATGTACTTCGCGGCTTGGTCGCACAACGTGATTTCTAATGCCGTCACTCTATCGAATGACTTGAAGATGGGCGAATATCGTGAGTCGCAACAATACTTATATCTGGACAGTGTCACTGATGTTCCCCACAGTCAAAATTCCTCCCCGCGTTATGTTCTTGACCCAAGTGTATGGAACTATACTGGGCGGATTTATCAACTACGCTGTCATGATTTCAATTGTGAACGGCAACCGGGAGTTGCTTGTCGACAGCGACGGCAACAACGCTTGGAGCGGTGCCACTATGCAGTCATACAACACCAACGCAACCTCCTGGGCGCTAGCGCATTACCTGTACAAGATAGGTGGCAAGTATGAAATGGTGCCCATCGGCTTGGGAATCGGCTTTGGCATTGTTGCCTTTCATAGGCTCGTTGTTCACGTGAGTAATGCCAGAAGACACCGATATATCGGTACCCATGTCACAGACAGTACTGACGAGCCAACCTACGCACCAGTTCGTCCCCAAAATCCGTGGTTTCTCGCTGTCTGAGATCAACTTTCCCCAGTTCATCCAGTACGCCGGATTCATTCCGTATAACCAGTCGCAGACTTGCGTCATCTTCAGTCAAATCATCGCGGGCTTTTTCACGCAGTTCTATCTCAGAAACTATCGCCCGCCAATTTTCAGGGACTACTCGTATCTAGTGACTGGCGCAATGGACGGCGCTAGCCTTACTGTTCTGTTCATTCTGTCCTTCGCTGTGTTTGGGGCGGGAGGCTCTTCAAAGCCTTTCCCAACGTGGTGGGGCAACAATGCGGATGGTTACTACGACCTTTGCCCGTCATCGGAATAAGTATGCATCTCTTGAACACGCATCGGTACCTACTAGGCTAAGATGGTCTGAGGCTATGGAGACTTTTGTTCCATACATCGCCCATCTCTGTCTAGTAGGCTCCCGCGGTGTGGCCAAGACATAACGTGTCAGTTGGGCCTGTAAATAGGTGACAGTAAAAATAAATCCCCATCAGCCCCGAGGCTTTCTACGGTAAGGTAGCCTTCGCTATCTATTACTGGAGGCATCACTAAACAGTTTCTCCCCCCATAACCCTTATAACGACGCTCATGAATAAATCAATGTGCACATTTGACCCTTCATGACCCAATTTCAAAAGTCGAAAGGACCTGACTTGTCTGATCCTTTGACCCTGAGACTGAGCCTCTTGCAGAGTTTAAGCTCAGTGTATTCGCTGGCCAATCGCAAATACGTCTATGTGCAGCGTGCCAGCTCTGTAATCATGTATCAAACTACGGAGTGATGTTGAATGTGATGGAAGGAGTTGCAGAAGCATTCGGAGGCATTGCGTAGGTAATGTTCCAGAACTCAAAGCCACTGTGCCTGGTCAGAAGATGAATTCAAAATGGGAGACCCTTGTTCACTTACTGGATGATGGAGCACGTACCGCCCACGAGCCCACAGAAACTGATCTCAGGATCTGGCAGAACTGATCCACTGGTGGTAATATTGATACCGTCCAAATCCCCAAATCCTTGAATATCACGTTTGCCGCCAATGGGGTTGGAGCTGACCATGAATGTAAAGATGCTTGAAACGTTGCCGCGTGGGTAAGTCAATGTCAACTGCCCCGGATCAACCTTCACTTCCATCGCTTGTTCAGTCCCGTGGAGGACTACGTATCCGATGCTGCCGTCATCTCGTGCCCATTGAACTGCAGCAGGCGACCACTGCAAAGAGTCTTGTCGGGGACCACCAAGAGTATCCTCGTAGTATGACTCAGCGCCAATGGTGACATTGTGAGAAAGCCATGCTGTAACGTTGCGAGGCGCCAAGTCGTGAGGAGGGGAAATTGCCGTGGTCTCGTACATATGATCCCCAGGAAACGACACGAGTTTTTGAATGACCGACTTTGGCACGAGTGCGTCGTGATATGGAGCCAGAACAGAGATGAGCGGCGCGTACTCAAAATCGTCAGCATGGGCCATGCTCCAGGTCTGACCAATACCCGGCGCCTGGGATTTGCCGACGAGGGACCAAATGTATATGTTGAGGATGGCGACGTATTGATTCATATCAAACCCGTAGGCTCTATCCCATGGACCCGCGATGTTGCGAAGGTTAGCGTTGTACATGTTTCCAATTGTTTCCCACACTGCCTCAATCATGCGTGCCCCGTTCTGGCCCATGAGAGACGATTCAGGCATGTACTTGGCCCATATTGTCAGCGCGTAGAGACTGACCCCTGCGTAGTTTGGACTGTTGAACTCAGAAAGCGTGTCGTTGCGGTCGAAAAGGTCCAAAATTTCTCGAGCGTACAGTTCTCCAGCTGCGGTCATATTAGAGTCGTTGAGCATACGGCCGGTCCATCCAGTAGCAACAGCCCTCATAAGAGCTGGGTTGCTGTAAGAAGGGTACAAGACATCATCATCCACGCCCCCGACGCGATAACTATCGCCAACAGTATTGTTCCGCATGCTCTCGAGGATGAGCATCTGAACATCTTCGGAAATCAGGTGCCTGAACTCCTCATATATAACGATGAGATTGCTGCCGATGAACCCTCGCCAATTTGGGTCCCAGGAGTTGAAGATCTGGTACAGAGTCAATAGACGAAGAGATGCTGCTTCGAAAAGGTAGACATACGTGCTTGGGGTATGCTGAGGATCCCACAGTTGGTTCCTCAGGATATACAGTATAGTCTCCATACCTAGATAGCCAGGAATAATTAGCAAGCTGCAAGAACACAATATCTAGCAATCCGTCACTCTTACCATTGTTCGCGTGGTACTTTTTTCTGGCCCGCGATGACGTTTTTAATGATCTTGACGGCCTCTTTCACGTCGTCTCCTTCATTGCGCTGAAGCAGGCCTGTTGCGTACCAGACGGAGGAGCGGGTTTCATGCTTGCCTGCGGCAAGCGGGAAGTAAAAAAAGTAAAGATAGCCAGCAATAGGATCATAAATCTTGTCCAGAAAGTTCATCGACTCATCAAACAGGTCTTGAGTGTGATCCGATAGATTGACTGCAACTGCTAAGTCCATAGCAGTGAGACAGGCAAGCAGACCAATCGAAAGAAGATTCTTAAATGAGGTATTCATGATGATGGGTTGTTTGCGTTACCTCCATAGGGTGAATTGAACGTGCCAATGTCGCGTCTTAAGACGGGGAGAAAGCCTGCATTTGCAGCAAGTTTTGCTTTCCAAGACAAGAAACTTCCGGACTATCAGAGTCATCGACTAAAGCCCCAACAATGTCTTTGCTTAGAAGCCGCCAGCCAAAGCCGGGTGCCAGCTCTGGATCAGCATGAGTACGTCCCGAGGATGGCCGGTTTGCAGGAAATCTCTCCGCGCGCCATTTGACTCTATTGGTGACTACGTACATCAACGGTATCATTGTTAGGTAGTAGTGTGGGGATTCAGATGGTGATCATTGCAGAATTGCCGGGCGAGGCTGTTCGCCGAACTCCCGATAAGAACAGTGTGGGGATGCCGATCAGCCGTGCCCCGCAAGCCGCTCCTACGGCAAACCCGGCGAAAGCACGAAAATCGACGATTGTCGTCCAACCGGACCGGAACCGGTCATTGCCGGCCTTCGCCGCAACTTCTGCTAGGAGGGAAGACTCTAAGTAAACCAAACATGGATATTACATTCTTTCTTTTTCCTACTAAATCTCTCAATTTGAGAAACTCTTCGTGATAGTTCGTACGCTGTTTCTTCCCGTCTAACTGCTTTTTTCCTTATTTGTGTCTCCAATCACAGGTACTTCCTTATCCAGTGTATGCGACACTTAGTTCTCCAACGAACTGATCGGCTTCTGAGTCTTTCTCGGAGAAAAAGTGAGATGTTAACTAGTAAACTTACAGTATACACCAAGTGGTCAAGGCCACCATGATTCTTCTCTAAACAGAAATTCTATGCCAGTCGTACTTTGAGATTTGGGCTGTTGAACCAAGATCCAGAGACGCTTATGACGGGATTTCCGGACTTGTTCCCAAGTATCTCCGACCAAGCCTGCGGGAGACGGAAGAGATGTTTAAGATCCCCAAACCGTCACTCAAATATGGCTGGCACCTTTGAATGCCTTGGCCTTCGAAGCTCCTGTGAACACCATCATAATATACGGTACGAGCCTTCAAAACCATCTGAGAGCTGTTTGACCAATTTCAAGAAGACTTATTCATTCACGCGTTACTCGGTCCACATTCCAATGCTTCCCCTAAAACTACAGTCCACAATTTCGATAATCGGAGTTTGCTCACCACACCCCACCGCGAAATCCACTAACCAGCTTTTACTACCTGTAAGAGGCGGCAACAGGATCACACGTAAAATTAAGCGCTATGTGAATGCCCCTCAGCGATTTCAGAGTTACGCGTCAATAATCTGGGCCTTGACACGTTCCCAATCCTTCGGCGGAAGTTGAGCAAGCAAAACCTTGAGCTTCTCGCATGCTGCGTGAATTTGCGAAGCCATAGCCTGCATTGGGTCCTGCTCTTTCGCCGAGCCGTCATAGCTACTGGGAGATGCCAGCATGGCGCCGACCCAGTCCAGACGAGCCTGGGAAAGCCACTTGGCGGTTTTGGGCTTCGCGTGCCACCGCATGGTGTTCTCGAGATTGAGGCATGTCATGAGCTGTCACGGTCTATGGACCGGTGTTCGGCCTTCGGCAAGACCCTCAGCCACGACTCATTGGACCCACCAAATCCAATGGCGTATTTGCTAGAAGGTTCCAGGAATATCGACAAGGTCAATGGCAAGGTTATAAGAATGCCC